GCCAAAAAAGATCTTAAACAGCCATGTAGAAAAGGCTAAAATGCTCTCTTCTCCAGTCTCCTCATCTTCACTCTCATCAGCTCCCTGTGAGCTAACTCCATCGCTCCCATCCCCCCCCTGCGTGTCTGGCACATAGTGATGACACGAACCCTTGGTGGGCGTCTCCCTCTGCCAACTGTTGCCAGTCTAATGGAGGGCTTGCCAGCGAATGAGACTGCCAAAGTGCCAATTAGTACGTACGATTACGCATAGAGGCATCCTTCTTATCCTTCCTCCAGCTCTATCTCTTAACTGTTTGTCTTCGCTCTTCTCCATTCTTCACTTTCTTTCTCTCCTGTCATGTTTTTCCTGGCTATCAGCTCCTCTGTTTTCTGACTCTCCCTCACAGCTTGCCTTTTTAACAGTGGTAACCGACTGGGGAAGCATGTGTGATGGCCTGAGAAAACCCTCTATTCAAATTTCAACCACAACAGTCTTCAGCTACATGGTAACAGCCTTTAAAGAAACAGCAAGTGCCATCTGGTTTTTCATACCTCCCTCCCACTCACACTCTCTGTGTAATACAGGCCATCTTGAAACACCAAGGCAGCTTGCTGAGGTAATCATGGCCTCCAGCGATGAGTGTTAGGAAATGCTTCCATAATTACACATGTTCACACACGATGTTGAGTGAGTCAGGGGTATCCGCTGAGGAAAGGTTCACAAGCTTTGTAGTCTGAGCAAACAGTCGTGTATTATGCCTCCATAGGCAAAAATTTCTACAATAAAGTTAAATTAGAGTTCCCGCTTGTATGATTCAAACAGTAATGTAAACCATTGATCAGAGTCAGTTCAGTGCAGCCATGTGAGCTGAACCAACACCTCTATAGAGGTAAATGAATAAACTGGTAGGCCAGTGTAGTTGGGGTTAAAGAAGCTGGGTAGTGTGCACATCTAGCCCCATTTGGGTAAAGGCGTAGGACAAAAGCAACATAAAAAGTAAAAGGAGAGGTTGTCTGCACACTGAAAGGTGCAATTTCAAATTTTTATTGATGCATTGTTTCGACCTACGAAGCTTTCGTAAGGCAAACATCCATGAGAACAAAGAGCAGGTTGCATATACGGACAAAAACATGACAGCTACACCTACAATCAAGATGTCACATGACACGATACATAAGTGGAGTTGTTTTTAATCTTGCATAAAACCTGCTTTTTGTTCACACGATTGCCTGATGTAGATCTCGAGGCATTTCATCCATTTTTTTTTATTTTTTGAGAGTTTGCAATTTTCCATGAGTCTATATCTCTTTTTCCAGTGTGGCTGTTTTTTTTTTTGTTGTTTTTTTTATACACTTTTGGCTTCTTGCTGCACACCAAGCCTGAAGGGACAAGTTGCACTTGTGTGTGCAGCCAGAGGCCTTCAGTCCTCATGCTTATGAATTTTTGCATGCATTTTGTGGGGGATCTGTAGTGTAGCTGTAACACAGTCTGTGACCCTGTCTGCAGAGGCCTCCTAATTACTAACTGATAGACAGCACTGGTGACTCATCTAATATTATCAGCAGATCTCATAAGCTTCATTCACTCTCTAATAAGGTTGCAAACCTTGAGTGATGGCCTGTGTGTGTGTGTGTGTGTGTGTTTGAGAGAGAGAGAGAAAGAGAGAGTGAGAGAGAGAACACTTTCATTAATTTATCTTTGCTGTGGCCAGAATGATAATTTAGTGTGGGATCTATCTGCAGCTCACTTCATCATGCTGAATATTAATAAAATGAGACCTGAAAGGCTATTTCATCCAGCTCGAGCACATCTCCACATAGGAGAAGAATAAATGCCTTTGCTGTTTTCTGTTTTTTGGATGTAATTAGCCCCGCCTTCATCTTACTACCAAATGATTGTTAACTGCTATATTTGTAAAATCAGAATCTGCCATTGAGAAATATTTGATGGTGGCTGAAAATTATATGCAAATGCATTTAGATTGCATTTTTCAGATCAAGTGAAAGGACTTCCTCGGCACACGCTGACCTCTGTGCCAGAAGAAACCAACACATCATTAAGTATTGCCTGATCCATACAAAGAGCTCACTGAAAGGTAAAGACTGATTACAGCATCTGTCACCGTTGGGAGAGCCTCTGGAGTCTTTGGTCTCTTCCTCTCTGTCCCTATTCAGGAAGGTGAGATTACAACAAGCCATTAGCATGTGTCTGTCTCACTGTGTTTTAATTAAGCTTCTAATTTTGGTGGTATATTAACTTGCCGTGGGGCTGAGTGTCCTCACCACTGCCAAACATCAACTGATCAACATGCTAGAGAGGCAGGAGGCTCTATTTTTCACAGCACTTCTCTTTATACCATGCCTCTCTTATACTCTCCTCTCCTCCTCTTCTTTCCTCTTCCAAACTTGCATCCTTCCTCTCTCCAACAGTGAGTGGAGCATCGTTAAGAAGCCTGAGCTCGGCTCATCAATAATTGAACAGCCAGAACCATGTAGAATTCTCTAAGAACCCTGTCTGCCACCCTTTGTATTTCTGTGCTGTGAATTGATTAATATTTCATATGTGTGTGCATGAGTGCATGTGTGTATGTGTGTGTGTGCATGTGTGTGTGTGAGAGAGAGGTGTCGAGGTTAATCTGCTGTCTCATCAAGCTCCTCCTTTGAAACCACAAACATTTCCTCTCTGCTCTGACGGTGAAGCACCTACCTCTCCTGAGAAGGAGACTGGTGTGAAATGCCCTTTAATTTAACAACTTTCCCCTACAGAACAGAACAGACTAACTGGTATACATAAGCCCCCTGGGCCTTTTGCTGCAGTGTAATTGATGTACTGTAAGTACACAGAGAGAGGTGATGGTTTAAAAGCTGTTGCCACCTTAAAGTCCACAGCTGCTTGTAGTATCACTTAAGCTCAGCCTACAACAGATCCTTTGCTCAGGTTAACCCAACATGGTGTTCAGGTAGAACCAGGTTGAAATTTAAAGTGCCCTGTGGAGTTTTCTTATAAACAAACCATAGTTTACTTTATGAATGAAACTTATTTCCATTACTGATTAATCTATTGATTATTTTCTTAATAAATTGATAAATTGTTTGGTTCTTAAAATGACAAATTGACATATTCATATTTGCTCGACACTGACTCCAATTAATTTTACAACTAATTTCTGGTCAATCAACTAATCAAATAGTCGACTAAAATTTTTTCAGCTCTAGTTTACCTTCAGTGTTACTCACCAAAAGTCAATGTGTGTATTCTTCACCTCTAACATAAGCATCAAGTGTATTTCCTTCTTCATAAAACATTTGCAAAGACAATTTTGAAGTATTTGAAATCCAGAAGTGTTTACATCCATGTTTACAAGCTTGCTGTCTTCTTCTTCTCTGCCTTTGCTGGCGCAGTGCAGCACATCTTAGCATGTTACCACAACCTGTTGATCAGTGGAATAGTTTGACACTATTCGTAGGACTGTGTCACCTGTGTCCTCATGCGCATACATGAGATAAACACAACGGAGACATGCTCATAGAAAAACAGCTCCATGGCACTACTAAAAGTCCAACACTTCACAGGGAACCTTTATAGAGGTGTTGGCCTACATCATTTCCTGTCTGTTACCTATTGCACTATATTTTCTCTCAGTGTTCAAATTCAAAGTGAAACGCTAGATGTGAAATATTGCTGTTGGATTGTGTGATACCACAGCTGTGAGTGACAGTTAACTATCACATGTTTATTATTCAGGGAAAATGAGTGAAGAAGAAACAAATTTCGGACATGACAAAAGTTCGAATGCACCACTTTGACAATTTCTTCCCAGTAACTTTGAACAATGGAGAGGTGTCTCTTCATGTAGATATATACAACACTGGATAAGTTATTCAAGCACAACAGCTGATGACTTTCAATATAACCTGTTACTCTAGCTCAAACAAATGAGAACAAACAAGCATGATAAAAAGTTTTACTGTTTGTTTTGTAATTTCTGTTTGGCTAAAAGTCTTGCTGGGCCAAGGTATCATGTGATCTGCCTCTCTGACATGTGCCACTGTTGCCACACATCCTAGTGCTGTCCTTTTGGGCTTGGTATACACAGATAAACATATATCTTTGTGGATATGTAATCTGATATCACATACTGACCTCATATGATTCTTTCCAAAGCAGGAAATGAAGCACAGATAAACACCTGAAGTAGTCAAACAAGAACATTATTACCTCCACCAAGGAGGTTATGTTTTCATTTGTGTCTGTTTCTTTCTCAGAAAGAATACTGAAACTATTTGCACCCAACCTGGTGGAGGGATGGAGCAAGGGCCAGGGAAGAACCCATTAAATTCTGTAAGCTTTTACTATGAGTTTGAATTTTTCTCTTAAGTCTGGTGTATGTTGTTTGGAGGTCTGCAGCCTGTGAGTGCCCTTGCATTTACACCTCTTCTGAACCCATGGTTACAGACTGTGGGGTGTTTTAATAGGATGGAGAACCAACCACAACAAAAAGTCTCCTACAACAAGGGTTTATGGGCTGATATTAAACAAAATGGACCTTTAGAACAGTAGATGGTCAAGGTGAGGTGAAATAAAAAGCTATGGAAGACTGCTGAAATATTTAAGATACATGTTAATATGATGATAATCAGATTTACTCTGATTCATCTCTATCACCAAAATCTCAATCCTACAAAATCTACCAAAAATCCATTAAACAAGTTCCTTGCGTGACTTCTGCTCACAGACCCTTGTTCACTTATGATTTGGCAGTGTAAATTCAAAAATAAAGCGAACATTTTCAGTGTGTAGGTGTTATTGAGCAACAAGCAGCAAGGAAGCAGACAGTCATACTCGAGCAACCAAACCTGCTAGAAATAAACTGTGAGCAGGATATAAAATAGCACAAACAATTAAGAAGAGCACAAGAAAACTGTGTTTGGAGTACAATAAATCTCACAGAATCACCGTCCCTTTCAATTCATAATCCACACACACACACACACACACACACACACAGTTTGACTCACCCACTGAGGACAACAATGAAGTCCATGACGTTCCATCCGTTCCTGAGGTAGGACCCTTTATGAAATACAAAGCCCAGGGCGATGATCTTTATCCCAGCCTCAAAACAGAACATCCCGATGAAGTAGGGCTCTGTCTTCTCCTGTTAGTGCAAAGCAAGTGTATTCAGGTGTATGTCAAGACTGGGGTCAACCTTTTTCTGCGGATCTATAGGCTCCATCAGAGGCAGTTATTTTAGCAACTTGACAGAAGATTTTTAAGTGTGTGTGGTGTGTGTGCAGATGTTTCCATGTGTGAATATCTCACCAATCTCTTGGACATAGGTGTTTTGTCTTCTCCAGGAAGATGCTGTTCCAGAGCCAAGACGATACAGTTGGCGATTATGGTGGCGAGGATCATGTACTCAAATGGAGTGAAAGTCTGAAGTTAAGGAACTTAGCAAATTTTTGACTGACTTAATATTGATTGTCTAGTTAATTCAACGCCTATTTAGTCCTACTGAACACGTCAATCTTATCAACAGGTCATTCTATTTAAGGGTTTTGTTGAAAAAAAGACAAAACTTGTCATACGGCCCATTAACACAAAAACAAACAGACACAGAGAAAGCTCTAAACAGGTTTTTCTAGGTAACAGTCAAACTCAAATGTGATGGGCTTTATTCATCAGAACATAACAGTAGTTCAGGAAATGTGTGTAGTGTAATAAAAGCACTAGAAATCATGCTAGAATATCTATACAGCACAGAAAGCATCTATTCTCTTAGGTAGATTGAGATTCAGATACAGAACAGGATTGGAAAAAAAATTATTCTATTAATTACAGTAAATCAAGCCCAGCAGCACTGCAATTACCGTGTCATGTAAGTACAGATAGACAAGCTGACATTAATTCCTCTGTATGAAACAGAATTAACCTGGCATGTTATACACCCTGGGGCTGTAGACACAACCAGACACAGGCTGCACCTTATCTGAGGTCAGCTGCAACAGACAGCAACACACGCACACGCACACACATCCCTTCATCTAACCCTGTACCCCACACACACACACACACACACACACACACACACACACACACACACACACACACACAGACACACACACACACACACACACACACACCACACACACACACACACACACACACACACACACACACCAGAGCAACAGAGAGTTTATCAAGGAGGGATGAGTGGGTGGGCCTGAGATGTGATCTTATGAACAGGGTCACTTTTACTACAAGCTTTACAGCCTGTTCTATGGGACCTGTATTGGTTGTCAGTTCAACTCCTGCTGCTCTGGGGTTGAACGAAGCCAGCAATGTGCTATTTATCTAATGCTCTGCGTGGGCAGTCCCCTCTCCTGGTTATGTGCAGGAGAAGTAGGAGGGGAGCTTAAATCTGCAGAGAGGAGACAGGGAGGGAGAGCGGCAGAAAGAGGGAGGCAGAGATAACAGGGAAGAATGAAATGAGGAGCAAGTGATAAGGGCGATGAAGGGTGACCAGTGGAGGAGAAGATGATGGTTATATCGAGAGTCAGAAGCTTGCGAAATAGGTGGGTGATGAGGAGGCACCGAGACCAAATAAGACTGACACCGGACAGATCGATGTTGCGCTGGCAGCTGTACCCAGCAGGGTTACTCAGGGACATGTGAGCAATGAGAGGCTAAATAAACAGAGCAAATACAATCTTACTCCCACCAGCCCACGGGGGTTCTAACTTAAACCTAGGATGTGCCACAGACTGACTCAGTGTTTTCAAGTTAATTGCTGAAAGCTTTGTAAAAACTAAAATATAGCAGCAATCAGCAACCAGTAGATGATGAGCACGAAGACAAACTGTAAAAAGTGGCTTAATGACATAATATCTGTCTCAAGCTGAGAAGCTTTTTTCAAGTTTGTTTTTTATCTTTTCAAGAGGTGAAGTGTATCTTATGATTCATTCCTCTACAATAACTGGCATCACTTTAGCCTCACTGTGAGATCTCAGCAGCAGTCAGCCACCACACCCTACATTCCCTCGAACACACACAACAAACAGGAAGGTGGGGGGGTGGGGGTTTAAGAAGGGGAAGAAAAGACAGAAAATGAAGATAGAAGGAGAGAGGAGAGGTATCCACGGCAACAGGCTTCTCTTCCAGCCAAAAGTCAATGCTATAAGACAGTTACTGGGCAGCTGAACTATCTCTGTTACGTACGCACAAACACACGCACACACGCACACACGCACACGCACACGCACACACACACACACACACACACACACACACACACACACACACACACACACACACACACACACACAGCTTGATGCTGTGCTAATTATAACCACTACATGAAAGACCTTGAATGACATTTTTTAACTGAAGTGTTGTCAAACGCATCACCTAAAAGTGTAGTCCTTTCTAAAAAAGAGGATAACAAGAAGTAAAAGTGATACATTCATGTATGTTTTATTTTCTTATATTATATAAATCTTTCATTATATTAATCTTTTTTGTGATATTAATATTTCAGTTCTGTTGTAAGAGTTGTTTTCATTGTATTTGTGAGCCTTGTCATTGTGTGACGGACCAGTATTCAGTACTGTCTATATAAAGTACCAGGTGTGTGGGTACCTCTTTTTATTACAGAGACCATGTGAGGTCAAAACCAGCCAACGTTTCAAACCATAATGCAGAACAAATAAATATTTCTAACATATCTTTTTCTTGTTGCTCTGCTTTTTCTCCTTGAGTGCCTGAAGAATTATTTATTTTCTGTGACCCACCTTTTCAACTTTAAAAGCAACTTAGACCTGCAATAAAACAGATTTTTTGGCCATTTGGGGGCAGTGGAAAAAGGCTGTAAAGACAACACTGAAGACCTTTTCAGTTGAAAAACTGAATGCTTATACATCCATCAGATACAGAGCGATATCCACTTTCATTTGGGGTCGAATTTCTGGTGACCTGATTAATCCAATAGTCTAACATTCACTCTCTTTCAGCTCTGTTTTACTTTTCTACCATTTGGTGCAGGAAAGGTAGAGTACAGTGGAATCTTAAAGCTTTATCACTGAAAATAGCTGCCAGCTGTGACTGTAAACATGAGCGGCGAGAGTGACCTAAAGCAGTAAAGTTGCAGGCTGAAAAACCAAATACAATGAGATAAAATACACTAAGAGCTCCAAAGAGCTGGGGATAACTACAAAGTTGGTGATTTTTTTTCTTTGGGTTTATCATAACAAGCAACACCTTTTACATATACAGTCATTTTATCCAGTGTTATTACTCATTGAGTATTTGTCTTCTGCAGCCTTTTTGATGCATTCACACACTCTGTAACTACAGAAACGTTCTGACATATTTGCCCAAGGGCCTGCAAACGACAGATGGGTCACGTCTGATACTGTATAACTGATGCTCCCTGACTTTTCAGAGATTTTAATAAATTCTCTCCCTGAAATACTCCTGTAAAACTCAATGTTGAGTTCACCATCAGGTAAACACTCAACAAGTGTCTGTTACAAAAACTATTCTCCTCTCCTCAGCGCTGTGGTGTGTGACGTGGTCTACCAGCTTTAGCAGCAAAGTGTCTCGTGAGCAATCCTGTGAGTCACAGTGACGCTGGCACTCTGCCTCGATTCCTCAAACATGCGTGTAAAAATAGACATGGAGACAGAGTGTGATGCCCTGTGCATCTGTGAATACACTCAAGCCCAGATTGGTTCCAAGCCCCTGTGATTATTATTACATAGAGGTGAAAATCAAAATGAATCATGGGCATCTGAGACGGGCTTATTGGGAATCTGTGAATTATCTGCAGCATGTGTTTATCAGCATGTGTCATAGGCACAGAACAGCTTTTAATATACAAACATAGAGGAAGGACAGAGGTTTAAGCCTAAAGAATGAAGATACTGATACACTACAAATTGAATCTCTCCTGAGATGCTGTTATTAAAATATGGCTAAGAAAAAAAGATGCCGTCAACTGAATGGATTTAACTGACTGCTGCATCAAACATAGTTCAATCTGTCTTCAATTCCACATCACCTCCACATCTCAGTGGCCTGCTTGAACTAGCCAATCAATCCTGAGGATAAATGCAGCCATAGCTCAGTTTATACACAGCAGCCCGTGTCAACTCAGACCCACAGGCCTTTCTTATATACTCTTCTCTGTCAGGAAATATAGAAGCGGTTGGATATATAGCCATAATGCCAGTGGCCTTAAGGTAACCACAGTGGGAGGGTGGAACTTATCTTATGTCATGTGTGTTTGGGGTTTGGTTAAATGAATTTTCTGTCAGCAGACTGTTGAATCGCTGCAAACGCAGAAGAGCACATGTCAAGTTTCATATCCTTCAGCTACAGTCACTCTTGCACTCATTAATGAGTATAAAAGCAAGCAATAAGCGGAAAACTGTTTTTATAATTTGAAATAAATGAGAATTGGACCAGAACTACACTTGGGACACAAGGGTCATTTCCTTGGTAATTTTCCATTTCCATTTTTCATGCAAGGATGCAATTTAGTTAGAGGGGAATTAATGGTCTTTCTCAAGTTTAAGTTGACTCTAGAGGCAATGCACAGAATTCACAATGTAAAATGCTCACTTAATTAAATTACTAGTACGTGTATTTTAAATCCTGGTTATTCCTTTGAGTGAGACTGATGTGTCTAACAGTTTAACAAAAGAGCAGTGACATTCCTGTCGAATACCTAAATTGTCTAACTGTTTCGTACCTAAAAATTAAGCAGGACTTATTCTCACATGGTTATTTCTGTGTGCCCTGATGAAACAAACTCTATTAAATCTAATAATCAATTATTTACAGGTGTACCTTCTCAATGGGAAACTTCCCGCGGCGGGGGATCCCAGTGGGGATCAGACAAGAGGAGCAGCTGCCAGTCCTCACCAGGCAAGCCACAATAAACTCAGGCCATGTGCTTCATTAGCTGTGCCTCTTCCCTGCCAGGCCTCGATCAGCCTCTATTGACTGGAAAGGTAGACTGACAGTCAGACTCACACATACATGTGCACAGCTATTTAATCACACCTTACTCTTGTGAATTTGCACGAAAGGATTTAATAGAAAATATGTACTCATATCAAAAAAACAAAGTGTAATTTGCTCTCGTAAGCCCACACATGCCTCTCTGGTTCCAGTGTTACACGCCCAGACCACGGAAGCCTCTGGATACTTCCTGGATTGATCATCTGCTGATAACTGAGCACTCAGAGAAAAAAAGAGCCTCTTACGGTGAGGTGACAGCGGCAAGTTGTGCTCCAAACACAAGACTGACCTTTATGAGATGTCCTGCAGAGATTGTGTGTGTGCATGTGTGTGTACTCTTGTACTTCTATCTCTGTGAGGACCTTTTTGAGTTTTAGACCATGAGAAAAGGG